GAGAAGGGATTGCAGTGTGGCCATCCCCCCTGGGGGGTGATTTCTCGCTTTCTGTCTCTCTGTCTCTGTCTGTCTGACGAGCGCACGTGCCCTATAGCAAAAACCTACCAAAAATAAATACATACATACATACGAACTTTTATAGGATACATGCACTCACCAGAGAGAGAAAGTAAGAATGCAAGTCACCAGGTCTGGGTCTAGAACTATGGTCAGCCATGTGGGAGTCTACCACATTAACCACTATGCCACCTGCTGGCCCCTATAATCCGATTTTTTTTTTTTTTTTGAGAGGTTTTTGCTATAGGGCACATGCACTTGCCAGAAAGACAGAAAGAGACAGAGAGACAGAAAGCAAGAAATCACCCCCCCCCCCCGGGACAGAAAGCAAGAAATCACCCCCCCCCCAGGGGGTATAGCCATGCCGCAACCCCTTGCCCTCCGTTTGCCTCTTGGGATCTTGGGCACGCACGCATACACGCCTGGCATGAGTTTAAGCCACCGGGTCTGGGACTCGAACTATGGTTGACCACATGGGAGTCTAGCAACATAGCCATTACACCAACTGCTGGTCCTGAAATCTTGAAGGTGTTTAAGCTGGAGGTAGGTACACAAATGGGTCATTTTATATATGTGTGTGTGTGTGTGTGTGTGTGTGTGTATATGAACTACTTTATATATGTGTGCTACTTTAGTGATAAACACACAAAAATCCTCCTGATCTGGCATGAGGAGGGGCCTCTGATAGCTTACCTCCTGGGGCCTGGCGTCCTACCCTAAAGTCTCCTTTGTGGCTGAGAAACCTTTCATTCACTTTCTCTGTCAACCAGCAGTTTTCATATGCATACCACAGCTAGGATCAGTCACCCAGGTGGGTAAGGGGCTGCTGCAGATTTATCTTCCCTCAATCCAGCTGTCTTCCTGCAGACATCCTGCAGGCCTCCCTGAATTGCTTCAATATATGACATTCTGATAGCCTTGGACACTCATTTCCCCTCCCAACCCATCGGCAAGACAAGTGACTTAGATATGCCATTGAAGTAAATTGCTCAACAAGCTAACGGGAAGTGAGAAATAATATCTAAATGCTTGTAATAAGGTAAATACCCCAGTGCTGACAACAAGCAAATGTGACCCCCATGGCCTACTAACAAAACCTCAGGAGCCATGGAGACAAGGAGGACATTTGGCAACGTGTAGATTTTGGAAAAGATTTGAGGGCATCTCTACTAATCATTAACATTCGAGCTACAAATTAAAGTCCAATCGTTGGCTCAGAATGCTGCGCGCCTGCCTCCAAGAATCTTGAAACAGCAGCTGTCTGAGGTCATGTTCTGCATTTGATTTCCTGCTAGATTCACTGGTTCTGGCCAGACAGCAGGAATAAGAACCGCTTGTTCTATCTTTATCTCTTTGACCATGTTAATATAAAAGATTGTTTGGAACTCTTTCAAGGTCACACCTTAGAATTGCTCTGGAAATGAGTTTTAGGTGTCTCATTTCTTACAGTTCTTGTAAGGTCTGGGAAATGGTTGTTGATTTGGCTGCTGAGTCATAGGATAGGGGATATTGGTTTTAGGCAGCAAGAAACGTCTATGTACTGCTAGTGAAATCACAAGTGCTTCTTGCAAAATTCATAAAATTCTTTAGTGAAACATTTTACAATTTCCTGGTTGCTTTCTTTGCTGAATTTAAAGTTCTTGCTTCTTGGTCAATGTAAAGCAAATATGTGGACTACTAGGCCTTCTCTTTTCCCCAGTGCCATGAAAATTGAATCCAGTAGCTCTGGGAATAAAAATGATGGGGGTTAAGAAAGAAAGGCAGTTTTTGCAGCTGACTAGAAGAAATAATATTAAGTTCATGGACACATTTGAATCTCTCTATGCAAAGAAATAACTTAAATACGCAGGTGTATGACACTGCTTTAGCTCTCAGACTTACAGACCAGGAGAAATGCTGAGAACATACAGTAACAATAATAAAAAACAAAGGGATCGCCTCCACCCAGTCTTTGAGTACTGAAGGTGAGCTGCAGAATGGCTTGTTAGCAGCCATCTTTCAAGAAAATCTTTCTTGCTCAGAAAACAAAACAAAACAAAAAACTCCTTCCTGGTTTTCATTCGCCAGACCACTATGAAATATTACCTGTCTTGGGCTTGGGGAATCTCTCGGTTCTATGATAAATTACCAAATCATTACACGGATGGGTCACAAGAATCCAGCTAGTCCTCTAGGTAGGGAAAATAGGCATGTCAAGTCTTTCCAGATTCAACACAAACTGGGGAAGCCCATGCAGATATGCCTGAGATTTAGGAAGCGATCGAAAGATGTTAGGTAAAGGAAAAGGCAAGGAAACCTTTCTTGCGGCTACCTCGGCCTGACACTAACGGCAAGGAGAAAGGGACGGAGTCACCTTAGCGGCTTGCACGAGGGCGCGGCAAGGACACGCAGCGCGCAGGCGCCGGAGGGTGCACAGGCCCCCGGCACGCAACGCTGCGGCGGGGCCCGAGGTCCGTCTCCCGCGGTGAGGGCGGGCGCGCGGCCCCTCAACGTCTGGACATCTACGGGGTTTCCCAGCACCTCGCGACGGCGGGAGGGCAGGGCGGGCCGCGAAGGTTGTCACCAAAGTCGTGGGCCACACTTGCGCCAGGGCGACGCCGAGTGCGTGCGGGACTCGGAGTACGTGACGGAGCCCCAAGCCCTCATGCCCGCCGCCCTGCCCCGCCCCTCCCCGGGGCCCCGGCTCCGCAGACCCCTGCTCGGCTCCGGGCTCCCCGTC